TGAAATTAAACATAATTACACTATGATTCTTATCAGGACGATTGTAAGAATTTGGAGTGAATAAACTTTCGTAGGATTAGAAGAGTTACTGCTACCCTTATTACCTTGTTGAAAAGAATATGCTACGGGCCTACTTAGGAAAATTAGTGGAAGCGATGCTCCGAAGTTAAAAATGTGGTTGGGTGCCTTGTATTCTTGGACGTAACTCCCTTAGGACTTGTAGCACATAAAATTTATTACTAGGAGAGGTCTGGTTGTGTTTAGTGGAGCCTGTCTTGCACTTTTCTAGCTCGTAATGACATAAGAATAGGAAGATTGTTGGGTGTCATTAGAGAAACTTCTCGCTAGTGCTGGCATGGGTGAAGTTATAGAGAGATTTGAGATGTTAACTATAGAGAGCAACGACTCCTCCATACATGGTCATGTATGTACACTCTAGAGCCTGAGATAGATAAGGACATTCTTACCTTTGCGCAGGAAACAAAATAACTTAATAGACCTCGAAAAGTAGAGACTTAAGCTAAATGCATCTAAGAAACTCAATTAACCCTGATGGGTGACTATTACATCCTTCATAGAACCCCATGGAGTTTCCGTCAAATGTCCAATTAACACGAAATTATGTGAGCTTTTATCTTTCATGCAAATAAACTAAACTCCAGAGTCGCATAATGAAATTTATATCGAAACCCCGATTTCTGAGGCTATGATTTCTCAAGAACTACTCACCCATCTTCAAGCTTATCTTCAACACTTGTGTCGTCTCGTTCTCTCCAACCTTGTTTATGTCTTAGCTTGCCTTTTAAACACGGGCAAGACTTTCAATGTACAAAATGGCCTTAATTGTTCGAAACCCGTGGGGAGTGTTGGTAGTTCGTCCAATATTTATGGACCCATCCGTTTCAAAGCTCCCACTCTTCGCATTCACTTTGACGATATTTCGACACAAAAAAACATCACATGCCTCCTCCTCACCCACCTCTCTCTGATCAACAATGGCGAGCACTGTGAACTTGGAGTACAACGCCAACATTCCACCCGAACCCGAATTTTGGTACAAACTCCACACCCATTTAAGATCAACCCTATACTTCACAAACCACCCACAATGATCATCTTCCATCTCGTACACAATCAATTCCATAGGTTCAAGTTCAACACCTTCAACCCAATAAAGATGCCCACAGCAACCTCCAAAATACTAAACAATTTTGTGTCCCCGATCATTGGAAGCTCCAGGTATTGGAAATTCATGGAGTTTCTCTTCGCTCAAATCGAAGTATATTCCCTTTCCACAATCCCGCACCCAATGAACAGCTCCAACTGAGCACGAGTAAGAATATCTCAAGCATATTTTAACTGACTGATAAAGAGACCATCAGGAGTGGGTGAAGCTTCAAGACCAAGAAAGTAACTGAGAGAACCCAAATCTTTGGTAGCAAACTCAGAATGAATCTTGCGAGTAAAGCTGTTAATAAAAGATGAGTTGTTGCCGGTAACAATAATGTCATCAACATAAAGAAGCAAATAGATAAGGTTAGATTGCTGATGAAAGACAAAAAGGGACGTGTCAGCGCGACTGCAAGAAAACCCAAGTGTGAGAAGAAATGAGCTAAAACGTTGAAACCAAGCACGAGGAGCTTGCTTTAAGCCATAGAGAGCTTTCTTTAATAGACAAACATGCATAGGAAATCGAGGATCAACATACCCAGGAGATTGTTCCATATGAACACGTTCAATAAGCGTTCCATTGAGAAAAGCATTCTTGACATCAAGTTGTCGAAGAGGCCATTTATTTGTGACTACAATAGAAAGCACAACACGGACAGTGGTAGCTTTGACAACCGGACTGAAAGTGTCAGTGTAGTCAAGACCAGGAACCTGAGTATAACCTTTGGCAACGAGACGAGCCTTGAAACGCTCGACGGATCCATCGGGCAAATATTTAATACGAAACACCCATTTAGAGCCCACGATGTTGGTGTTGGCAGGGCGAGGAACCAAAGTCCAAGTATCATTTTGTTGTAACGCTCGAATTTCTTCATCCATGGCAGTCACCCAAGCAGGATTCTTAGCCGCAGATTTGAATCCTTTTGGCTAAGTGGATGCAAGAAGAGCATAAAGAAGTCCAGATGAACCCAACATACCAAGATTTGCTGGATGACGAGTCTTGAATATACCAGCTTTGGCGCGTGTGATCATAGGATGAGTGCCCAAAGAAGAGAAATCAACAGGAGGTTCAATAGAGGTCGAATTAGAAGTCGAGGGTGGCAAAGTGGAACCTGCAAGAGAAGTATCAACCTGCACAGACTCATCTACAAGGTCAGAACAAATATCACACGGGGATGAACTGGATTGAGGAATGTGCGGTGATGAAGTGGTAGGGAGGGATGAATCAATATGATGAAGATGTGGTTCCAAGAAATTTGAAATATGAATAGTGGAAAGAGGTTGAGCTTGGGAGCTAGGGATAGCAGGAAAGTGAGTTTCATCAAATTGAGCATGGCAGGTGATATATAGCTTAGTGGTGGCGGGATCAAGACAGCGGAACCCTTTATGAACAGGACTATAACCCAAAAAAATACAAGGAATGTTGCGGGGAGAAAGCTTGTTAGGCATATAATCACGCAAATAAGGATAAACACGACAACCAAAGGGATGAAAATTGTCATCATGTGGAGTGTAGTCATAAAGAAGTTTAAAGGGTGACTTACCTCCAAGAAGTGGAGTAGGCAACCGGTTGATAATATAAGCTGCAGTGCTGAAGGCGTCAACCCAAAAACGAGGAGAAAGATGAGAGTGAACGAGAAGGGCCAAGCCAGTCTCAGTCACATGACGATGTTTTCTCTCAACACGACCATTTTGAGCAGGTGTATATGGACAAGAGAGTTGATGGTGGATGCCAAAATTACGTAAATGAGTTTTGAAACAGGTACTAGTAAATTCGGTACCACCATCGCTTTGAAATACCTTGATACGAGAAGAATATTGATTTTCCACAAATTTTTGAAATTGAAGAAAAATATAAAAAAAAATCATATTTAAATTTTAAAGGGTAAAACCAAGTGAATCGAGAATAATCATCAATAAAAATAGCATAATAAAGAAAACCCGAATTTGATTTGACGGGAGAAGGACCCCAAAGATCACAATGAATAAGATCTAACACATGAGACGACCTACGTTCATTGCGGGAATAAGGCAATCGATGACTTTTCGCAAGCTGACAAGTATTACATAATGATGGAGAAGGCAATAAAGACGTAAGAGAAAGATGACCTTTTTTATTTAAAAAAGAAATAACAGAATGATTCACATGACCCAGACGAGCATGCCATAAATCATATGAAGCACGTAAAGATTTGTTTTTAAGGGCTCAAATAAAAGCAAAGTTGCCGCGCTCCAGCACATATAGCCCTCCATCTCTTTTACCGGTTGCCACCACCCTTCCTGTTTGATGATTCTGTATAGTAATAAGATTATTAGTAAATGTAACGGAGGGAGGAAAATCAGACGTTAATTTACTTATGGAAAGAAGATTTTTAGTGAGGTGAGGGACAACCAAAACATCTAATAAGTGAATATTTGGAACAGGAGAAAGAGTACCGGTGTGGGTAATGGGTAGGGATGCACCGTTTTCTACGATCACAGAGTCCTTACCCGTGTAATTTTTAGACTGATCCAGAATTGATGGGTCGACAGTCATATGGGCCAAAGCTCCAGTGTCCAGAAACCAATCAGCAGCATCGGGTTCAGCAATAGAACATGACGTGTTAAAGGCTTCAGCAAGGTGAGCATGAGAAGAATCAGGTCGAACATACCGTTGGTTGCAGCGGTTAGCATAATGACCCTCTTTGCGGCATATTTGGCAATGAGGTGGTCGACGACCCTGACTTGAGTGGGTTCGTCCTCGATTAGAAGAGTTGTTTTTGTGAGAATAAGATCGACCTCGCTGGTTGGTAAAAGAAGCAGGGTGACTTCCATGGGTGCGACCATGATTAGTGGCTATGAATGCTGTAGGAGTGGAGTCAGAGAACTCAAGGGAGCGCTGGAACAACTCAAAACTTTCAGTTTGAGAGACTAGATCTGCAAAACATGGGATAGGGGTGAGAGCCATCTGAGTAGTAGAAAAAGCTGAAAATTCGGTGCCGAGTCCACGAAGGAACCAGTGCATTTTATCAATGTCCTCGACGGGTCTGCCAATGGCATGAAGTTGGTCACAAATTTTTTTGAAGGCACGGGCATACTCAGCAACAGGTTTTGTGCCACGTTTCATCAACTGCAAGTCATCCTTGAGTCTCAGTTCACGAGCTTTTGACTGATGGTTGAACGTAGTTTCCAACGCAAGCCAAACATCACGTGCAGTAGAGAGACCAACGACAACAGCCATGGCTTCCTCAGTGAGAGAGGAGAGCAGGAGACAGAGAAGTCGTTGATCGGCTGCTCTCCATGCCAAATATTTGGGGTTGAATGTTGAGGAGGTTTCTGGTTCAAAGCGAGGTGGTGGAACCATAGTTCCATTGACATAGCCCAGCATGTCTTGACTCTCAAGGAGAGGGAGAAGTTGGCTTTTCCTTTCCAAAGAAGATAATTGGAGGAAGAAAGTTTGATGGCGATCATATGGATTAGAGTATTGAAAGGAAGAAGATGATAACAAGATTCGGAAGCCATAGAGAAGAAAGGATCAGGGTTGTTAAACCGAAAGGGCTCTGATACCATGTGAATGTTTGATTAATCCACCACACTCAAATGGTGGTGAGAGTTCTCTTATTTATAATCATTTACAGAATACAGGGTAAATTACAAATAATAAGGAAATAGCGATAAAAGGAAAAAATAATAAATGAATACAATATATTTACATTTAATAAAAGGGAAAATATGTAACCCGCAAGATATTTGCCTTATAATGAACGGTCAACAATCCTTAACACATAGGTTCAAGTTCAGCACCTTTAACCCAATAAAGATGCCCACAGCAACCTCCAAAATACTAAACAATTTTGTGTCCCTGATCATTGGAAGCTCCAGGTATTGGAAATTCATGGAGTTTCTCTTCGCTCAAATTGAAGTATATTCCCTTTCCACAATCCCGCACCCAATGAACAGCTCCATTCCAATACACTCCACGGTCGATTTCCTTGATGAATCGATCTACGAATGAACCCTCGCAGCAGATCCTCCAGAACCCAGAATCAGAGGAGCAAATCTTGATTTGGTAGTTTGTGGAATCCACAACTCGAAAGCAAACGACTTCGTAATTTGGTGATTGTAAAGGATCGTATGGTAAATTAAGATCAAGGGTTACTCTGTTTTTGATTATCTTAAGCATGGGAAGCATTTTGTACTGCTTCGTCGTTGGATTGTATACGTAATAAACATTCTTCTCGTATGATCTGCCCAAGAACAAGCCGTTACAGGATTGCAGGATTACAATTCTACATTCCGAGATAGTAGGTTCAAGAGATCTGTATGGCACCCGAGGCGCATTTGGGTCCATATAGTCGAGATCGGATCCAGAGGAAAAACGACTGCAGTATGGACGGAACAAGATAACTGAAGGAGGAGTGAGTGGCTGAAAAGCGGATCGACGGTGACAGAAATTGGGATCGGAAATTAGGGAGAGCCATCGTTTTGAGACGGATTTGAATCGTAAAAGTGATCTGATGGGTAAGCGAAGAAAGATCTCGAGTAAGAGATCGTCGTTAGCGACGAGTGATTTGACGGCGGCGGCGATGGTGGACCGGGTGATGATTTTGGGTGGTTTCCGGCGGAGCATTTTGAGATAAGAAACTTGTTCATAGCTAAGGATTTCTAGAATTTGAAATAACAATTTTAATGCTTTTTGAATAATTAAATCAAAACTAAAATTAAGAAATTATGATCGAAACAAAATTGAACAAAATAAAAAAGGCGATGTATCAACCAAAGCATAACACGTGGGCTTTTTGTATTCTTTTAAAATGAAAAAAGACTAATTAATTAATTAATTATATTTAATAAATTAAAAAAGAAGTATTGTGCCACGTGTTCGTTCATACATGATTTTAAAAAAACATTGTATCACTTTCTTTTATTATTATTATTATTATTATTATTATTATTACAAGTACTATTTTTATTATTTACTTTTTAATCTCCACCATATATTGTAGTGTGAAAATTTTATTGTAGTAAATAATATAAAATTGTACTAAGATTAAGTACCCTTTTAACCAGTTTTAAGGAGTGGACACGTCTATATTAAAAGATATTTAAAAAAAATCATAAAATTAAATAAATAAATAATTCAAAAAGACGTTATTAATATTATGATTGGAGAAAATATCCATCAAAATCAAGATTGTCATGGTTTAGATATTTATATATCTCTAGCTTCAATTTTATTTATAATTTAATGAAATTAATACAAATATTTTTATTTACGTAATAATAAGTTCGTTTTATTTTATTTATTTCGATTGTTTGAAATTTTTTTTACTTGAGCCGGAATTTAAACATCTAATTTACTTATTTTTCTAGTTAAAAATATATATTCTAACACTAAATTGAAATTGAAAATTTTAAAATTAAAACTAAACCTACCTAATTAAATTTATAATTTAATATTTTAACCAATTATATTTATCTACATGCTTAAAAATATACAAGAGAGGCTCCAATTTGGGGGATTTGACAGTAATTTTTTTTTTTTTTTTTACCTCCGTTAATTTACTTTCGTCTTTCTCCTGTTCCGCCCATTTCCTGGCGGCGGCGGCGGCAGCCAAGACTTCCCGGCATCCAACGGAAAATTCAACTTAGCCTTTCTTCCCCTCATTCTAAACGCAGCCGAATCGTAAGCCCTAGCCGCCTCAACATCCGAATTAAAAGTCCCCAACCAAACCCTACTCCCTTTTCTACTCGGATCTCGAATCTCCGCCACGAACTTCCCCCACGGCCGCCGTCGTACACCTCTGTACCTCCTCCCGCCGTCGGAACTCAACACCTCTTCTGCGATCGCCACTTCTGGAGAGCTCGATCGCTCCGATTGTTCCGGCTTCTGAATCGGAGGCTCTTCCTCTTCCAACGGTTTCATGAACTCGAAATCTTCGAATTCGAATTTGATCGACGGGAGAGAGAAGAAGGCGGATGGTAACGGGAACTCGAAATCCAGGAGAGTGCGGAAGGAATCGGGATCTTGGAGACGATGGCGTTGGATGAACTTCAACCGTGAGAAATCGTCTTCTTCTTGCAGTTCCATTCTTTGTGATTTCGTTAAAAAGGAGAGGCGTTTGGGACACATTTATAGTGGGTGAAATTACGATAATGTGTAGACACACCACGCACACCTAATTCTACTTTTCTTCAATTATGCAAGGGTAAACATGGAACTTCAAAATTTATTTTGGATAACTATTACTTATTTCTTTAATACTATATATGAAGATAAACCTTTTAAAATACGTTATAAATTTTGGGTTTTAAAGATTGTTTTGTAAATTTCTAAATTATGAAATTTTATTGATTTTTTTCTATTTATTTGGGAAAAGATGAAATTTCAAAAATTATTAAATTTAAAAGTAAATTTTGAATGAGTGGGATCCAGCCTTACTTGTCATAGCACTTCAAGTTTATCTCTTCCTCTCCATGTCGCTATCACTGTGTTCACTTCTTCTTCCCATCCATTTACGAGCATAATCATATCTTATAATAAATCTCTCGTGTTATTCACTATTATATACAAATTTCTTACACACTTTTAATATTATTTTTATTATTTTAGTTGAAAAGTAGAAAGAGCTCGCTTTGAACCAGGTTACACTATTGTACCCTATTGTATCGACGTTTAATGAAAAGTATTAAATGAGACAAATTAAAATCAAACTAAGACAATTCAATCGTCGTAGTTTTTTGTTTTCGATGGTCCGATAACACACGAAATAAGCAAAAAGTGGGGCATGGAGTGGACCAAAGGAAGAAGAAAAGGTCGAGACAACTAAGAAGGATAAAAATGTCATTTTCATGCAAGTTGAGAGGTTTTTGTTTTAAAAGTCACTAGTGCCCTATTGCCAAATAAATACGAATTAACCCCATATCAAACTTTTTAATCTTAATTTTGGTAATAAAAATAAAAATTTCAACTAAACTTTCCATTCGAGACTTTTTTACATTTAACATTTTGATCAAACGAGAACGTCTTTTCTTAACCGTACTTTATCGATTGATGTTTGTAGAATATTCTCACTTTAGAATACCAATAAATACATCTTTTAATAAACTATATAATTTAATAGCGATTGAGATAATATTATATATAACCACGTTTGATAATTATTTAATTCTTATTTTTAAAAATTAAAATGAAAAAAATGCAAGGAAAAAAGAAAGCAAAACTTTCATAAATAAGCATTAAACCTTTACAATACATCATTGATCGATGTTTGATGGTTCCATAAAACAAAATATAAAAATTTCCCAATTCAATAAATGAATAAACAAATCAAACCCCTTCAAACATATATATATATATATATATATATATATATCGTCAACTTGGATAAGGATCGAATTCACCATCACTAAGTTAACGAGTTTTTTTTTTTTTTTTTTTTTCAGAAATTTTAT